CTCTGGAATCATAGAAACGCAACTGTCATTTGAAACCTCTCACATCCCTTTTGTTCCACCCCTCTCATTTATCTCTGCAATAGACGGACTATCCAAGAACTAACCCTGGGGCCTCAAAGTGATGGGGCCTCTCCGAAGAGTAACAACCTGGTTGTGTCTCCAACTTGTCAGCGTGTCCACCAATTCCAATGTTCATTCACTCACATCATTAAGTAATTCCAGGATAAATTAGGGCACAATTAAGGATCCAAAGCAAGCTTGGACCAATGTTCCAGAACTTTCTCTTTTGTGTTGCTTTTGCCATGTAAATCCCTGGACGGATGCCAAAAGAGGCTGCAGATCCAAGAAGGGAATGACAGATTTACGTTTGGGTCTCTCCAGGAAATGCCTAGAAATGACAGGAGATTTTCAACTTTGATCTGGTGCTTAGATGTTTTGAGAGACCCTGAAGCGCACATAATTCCAATGATCAATTTGCCTTTTTTAACCTCCCCTTCAATACCTACCCGATTTCCGGGACTGCTATTTCAAAAATTAAGGCTAGAAATCAGTATGTTATGCTATGAGAAAGCGAGTGGGAATTTTAGCGCTCATGGTCCTGTGACTAATGGATCAGGTTAGGGCCTGATCTAATGGAAAGACCTTAACTAACTTTAGTGACATTGCTTCCACCCTTAGTACCTTAAATCCCCACAACTTGTGGTCTGCATCTCATCATTGGACTCTCTCTCTCTGAGAATGCAACAGATGACAGGGCTGACATAGGTTGGAGTTATTCTCTACATGACCCTCCTTGTCTGAGTGCAGCTTTCACATCACATCATGAATCACAGAATCCTAGGGCTGGAAGAGACCTCAGGAGGTCACCGAGACCAGCCCCCTGCCCAAAGCAGGACCAATCCCAACTAAATCATCTCAGCCAGGGCTGTGCCAAGCTGGGACTTAAAAACCTCTAGGGATGAAGATTCTACCACCTCCCTAGGGAACCCAGTCCAGTGCTTCCCCACCCTCCCAGAGAAATAGTTTTTCCTAATAGCCAACCTAGACCTCCCCCACTATAACTTGAGACCATTGCTCCTTCTTCTGCTGTCTGTCACTCCCGAGAACAGCCTCTATCCATCCTCTTCGGAACCTCCCTTCAGGAAGTAGTAGGCTGCTATCAAATCCCCCCTCACTCTTCTCTTCTGCAGACTAGATACGCATGAATCCCTCAGTCTCTCCTCGTAAGTCATGTGCTCCAGTCCTCTTATCATTTTGGTTGCCCTCCACTGGACCCTCTCCAATGCGTCAACATCCTTTCTATAATGAGGGGCCCAAAACTGGACGCAATACTCCAGATGTGACCTCACCAGAGCCAAATAAAGGGGAATAATCTCTTCTTTAGATTTCCTGGAAATGCTCCTCCTAATGCACCCTAATATGCCATTAGCCTTCTTCACTACAAAGGCACACTGGTGACTCATATCCAGCTTCTCATCCACTGTAACCCACAGGTCCTTTTCTGCCAAACTGCTACTTAGCCAGTCAATCCCTAGCCTGTAACACTGCTTGGGATTCTTCTGTCCCAAGTGCAGGACTCTGCTCTTGTCCTTGTTGAACCTCATCAGATTTCTTTTGGCTCAATCCTCCAATTTGTCCAGGTCACTCTGGACTCTATCCCTGCCCTCCAATGTATCTACCTCTCCCCCTAGCTTAGAGTCAAACTTGCTGAGGGTGCCATCCATCCCATCTGGGTCATTAAGAAAGATGTTGAACAAAACCGTCCCTCGAACTGATCCTTGGAGCAGGCTGCTTGACACCAACTGCCAGCCAGGCATCAAACCACTGATCACTACCTGTTGGGCCTGACAATCTAGCCAGGTTTTTATTCTTTCTATACCTTACAGTCCATTTATCCATGCCTGCAGAGCTAACAGTCACGAGCCATCTTCCCTGCATTGTGTGGAGCTCCTTCTGGGCACCAAAGAGGCGGAATCAAACCCAAAGGGTGTGCTAAGGGGCTTAATGCTTTAAGCACGTATTAGATGAAACCTGCACCTCTCGCTTGCACTGCCAGATGTGCAATTTGTAATGCCTCAAGCTTCAGAGCTTCATGGAAACACTCTGGGTTTAAAGGCTAGTTTGACCCAGGAGTTGAACATTTGCAAAGACATGGGTCAGGCAGAATCACTAGAACCCTCCCCAATTCGTACTTATAAAACTATTTGTTGGCATAGATTAAAACCAGGGCAGGAAATGCCTTGGGGGGGGGGGGGGGA